GTTGATCATTCTATCGTCCAGTGATTGTGTAGAGTGTCTCATCCTACTAGTTTAAGCCAGCGGAAAGTTGTTCTGTTGTTGTTCTCAGCTTATTCCTCGGAATAGCAATTCCCTGGGTAGTGTTATCGAGTCAATGTTAACGGCATTGTGAGAAAGTCAATTACGTGTTGGTGACAATATGGAAATTCGGAGAGAATTTTGGGGAATACTTCTGTACATTTCAACCCGGATACATATGAGGACTTGTATAGTCAGGAAATTTCTGAATTCAGCTGAGGAAAGCGAACATATATTTTTCCAACACTGGTTAATGGGGTCTGTGGCGGCGAAAGTCTCAACGAAAAGTGTTTCTTATCGCTTCCATATCATTACTCCTGAGACACGATAACCATACAAGTTTCTGAGTTTATGACTTTCCTGATACGAAATTTTCGAAACACCAGAAATATTACAAGAAAATCTGAAAAAAAAGTGAAATGGTGATACGATGGTGTAACCGGATAGACCTGGGGCAAATGCAGTTTGAGCTGTTCCGTGTTGACAGAGTGCAATGGGTTATTGAGTCGAATTCTATCCTATTAGAAATCGATACATATGTACGAGATAAAACGAAGCCACCAGGAATTGAACCTGGGGTCTCGGGTGGTTCAAGCAGCTTGAATCAAGCTAGATCAATGTGAATAGTACATTGATATGATGGTTGTAGCCTGGAGAGTGGTGATGTCCACTATCCCCATCGTTGATAGCGTCTTCTTTTTAACTAGTTTCCTTTCTTTCGGTGTCTAGGTTTATTCTGCTTTTATCTGTAAACTTGATATTCCTGTTCATTTCCCAGTTGTGTTCCTAATATCGGGCGTTCGCGCATTCGTCTGTTTCATGTGCATGCGTGCAGGCCCTGCACTGCAGGGCAACTGGGGGGCGAAGAAACTGCTGTTCATTTTCATCAACACCGGAGTCGCGAATACACGCCCTGCTCGGTCGCGTATCGAATAGACTTATACTGTTGATAGTACTGGGTAGTAGTTAAACTGCGGTTTGGTCTGTGTTTGATCAGTTGATGTTGGGGAGTTAAGTTGAGGGCACAGATTCGATTTTCGTGTAGTGCTCTATGTATGCCCTGATGTATGAATACCGTGTTTTGGTTTATACAAGGTTTTCCGTGCTCTTGGTGAAGCTTGTATGTGGTGGGAATTGCAGTCGTATTGGTTGCATTAAACTCGAGATGATCAGTTTGTTCTTGCATGTCAAACACCCCGTCACCAACACCAACGCCCGAGCCCGAGACCGTCGGTGGTGAAGCTGTTCTCCTTTCCTTCGCTCTCTATATTGGCATCTTTGCCGTACTTGTCATTCTCTACTCCATTCTACGTCCACGTCTACCACGACTCTATCAACCTCGTCGGTATATCGAGGAGCTCCGGTGCTCCCTTGCTCTTCGAGAATATACCCTATTTGGGAGTTGGATCGTTGGCGCTATCCAAATCACTGATGAGGAGCTCTTTGCTGACGCCGGTCTTGACGCTGTTGCCTTCATAAGGATGCTCAGGCTGGGCACCAAGGTCGCCCTGGTGGGTTGTTGTAATGCGATTTACCTTTTGCCCGTGTACAAGTATCAGGGTGTTAGTCCAGGAAAGACCGATGCGTTAGATCAGCACAGTTTGGGTCATCTCCCGAACGGTAGCGCCGCTATGGTGGCGACTTTGCTTGCTTCTTATGTCATATTCGTATGGACTTTGTTTTTGGTCTACAAGGAGTTCTCGTGGTATCTCAAGAAGAGGCATGAGTTTCTGGCACGACACAACGTGGCCAATTACACTGTTTTTGTGCGGTGTATTCCGGAGGATCTTCGGTCGAACGAAAAACTTCGGGAGTATTTTGATGATATTTGTCCTCATCAAGTGACTGATGTGAGAGTAGCTTTGGACGTTGACGAGCTCGAAAAAGAGGTGCAAGAGCGAGATGCGCTGATACCTAATTTGGAGCATGCTTACAATCTGCTGGACCAAAAGGGAATTCGGCAGAAGACGAAGAAACCAGTTTGTTCTAAGAACGAATTTGACACCATCACAATGCTAGAGGCGCAGTTGTTGTCTCTAAACCGGTACATTTCCAAGACTGTAGATAATGCCAAGGCCTTTCAGGAAGTTCCGGATGTCGACGCTCACAAGGGTTTCGAAATCGCTGAGATCACCAAAATGGTACCGCTGATTCCGTTGAAGAAGATAGCATCTTCGAAAACCTTCCGAGTGCGCTCAGCTGGCTTCATCACGTTCCGGTCTCTGCAGTCTACTATGATGGCTTTACAGATGCTCCTCAATGACAAGCCCTTCAAGCTGTGCACTGAGCCGACACCGCTGCCAGATGATGTTTATTGGTCTAACGTGGGAATGCCTCATCTCCACCAACAGCTAGGTTTGCTACTCTCGTTGACGGCGACTTTCGCGTTGTGCATATTTTGGACAATCCCAGTTGCGTTCGTAGCATCTATTTCCAACGTATCCTTCTTGAAACAGGAGTTTTCCTTTTTGGAAGACGCGGTAGATGCCTGGCCAGCAATGGATATTATTTTACAGCAAGTGTCTCCGATTGCACTGTCGATCTTGAACGCACTTTTGCCGGTATTCTTGATGCTTTTCTCGAAATGGGAGGGCCACATCTCGTTGGCGACTCTAAACGCCTCCCTTTTTGGTAAGCTCGCGCTATTCTATATTATTCAGACTTTTTTCGTGAGTGCCATCGCGAGCAGTTTGATGGCGAGTCTCAAGGAGCTCACAGAAAAGCCCTTGGAGACGTTCCAGACCATTCTGGCTACCAATCTGCCGCAACAAGCCAATTATTTCATCTCCTTCGTTTTCGTCCAAATCGGACTTGACCTAGGCCTCGAGCTCATCAGAGTGGTGCCAGCTGTGACGGCTTTCCTCAGGAGGTGGCTGGGCCCGAATCTTTCGGATAAAGAGCGTAGTCGGCCCTGGCTTGGACTGAAGCCACTGAGTTTCCCGATGGAGCTCGAGCAGCCTCGACTGGTGTCTACCGTAATGCTATTTTTCATGATTCTTTTCGTGTACTCTGTGATGTCGCCTATTACGAGTTTTGTGATGGCGTTTGCTTTCACTGCATTTGCGGTGGTCTACAAGATCCAGTATGCGTCCGTCTATGACCCTTCCCATGATACTGGTGGTCAACTATGGGCGAGAGCCATCCGGTTCATAATAGCCTGTGTGGTGATAGCTGAGTTTACAGTGATGACGGTGATGGCTATCAAGGAGGGTGCTGTGGTGTCACCACTGATGCTTCCACTATTCATTGGGACGATCCTGTTTTGGATGTATCTCGAGCAGCGTCACTTCTCAGCAGCTTCGTTCCTCTCCGTCAAGACCTGCGCCCTGATCGATCAGGAGCGTCTTAATAAAGGCTTCAACGCTGAAGTTTGGGAAGGGGCGTACAACCCTATTGCCATGCGCCATAGATTCGCCGAGCCTGAGGTTCCTCTTGGGCTTCGGGAGCTTCCACCATGTGCCGACGATGGTGCTGATTCTGACGATACTTCGAGAGGCGAACCAGTAGCTGGAAAGACCGGGAGCTCTACTGAGCCGACTACGGCCGCTCTGAATGCTGGTGCTTGAAGAAATTTAAGTATGATCATTTCAACTCAAGTGTGTGTGTGCTGGTCTACTACTGTTATTATATTAATCTCATTCGCAGTCTCATAGTCGTATTGATTTCCAATGGAAGTAATCGTTGAGTTTGTCGCAACTGGGAATCGATCCCACGGTCTGCTCTTATATGACGATGTTGACTGGAATGAATCCGTTACCTGTTGCCAGAATCTACAATCTTTCAACCGCAATTCACCCAAGGGAAGCTGTCATTCTGAAAATCTGCCTTTTTCACGATTATCGCGAAAGCGACGTCCATCAGCTAGACTAACTTTCACGATGGATTTCACCTACCCAGTATCGCGCATTTAGTTACGTCTGTTGAAGACGCACTGCCCTTTATTCATATCTCGCTCAAGGATGAATGTGCAATATGCAATTGCAGGAATGAAAGATACAGAGAATTGGATGAAAGAATCTCAAGTAAGGCGATATTTCCCCACAATACAGAGCAAGAAGACATGTTACCTTCTACAGGTCTTCTCAACCTAGAGATCATTCTTAATTCCCTTGACTGTGACTCACAGTCTGTGAGTGATATATTTTTAGAACATTACGGTTTAGTGGTTAATACTCTGGTCTTTCGATCGAGTGATCCAAGTTCGATTCTCGGTGAAGCTGAAATCAATCTCAGAGCCAATTTCTCAAGCTTTCTTATGTCGAGCAGCTCCCCGTAAGAGTAAGTTGAAAAATTGATTCTGACGGTTTGGTCCTCTACTCTAGTCCAAAGTAGAGTTGCAGACCCAATCATATGAGTGCGGAAATGTATCTTCGCGCACTGCAAAGATCCCCAAACGAATGTTAATCATATCTTGGCGTATGGTAATGTTCACATTCAACCGAGCTCTCGATTTCCTCTGTTGATTTAAGATTCTCACACGGCTCTCTATTGAGTTACGAATCAGTGTTAAATTGACAACACGAGCGGAGGGAATGTAATTACCAGTAAAAATTAGGAAAAACACTCTATGGCCTTCCTCATCAAAGCACAGCAAAAGGAGCGGTATAAACAGCAAATAATCTTATAATAACGATAATTTCTCAGTAAAGAATTTATACAACCGTTCACGCGTTCTTTCTCGCGACACAACACTGGGGACCAGAGCAGTGACCGATGTGGGAGTCGCGAACGG